CCATCAAATTCTTCAGTTTATTTTCATGATATACGCAAGCCTTGATCATTCCCCAAAACCAATAATCCAGAGGTGTGAGATCGAGTGACCTTGCGGGTCAAAAGTTCGGAAATCCACGAGCAATGACTCTCTCATCAGAGAATTGCTCTCGGAGGTAAGTTCTCACTTGGTTTGAGTAGTGGGGTGGAGTGCCATCTTGTTTAAAGACGGTTGATGACTTCTTGTACTGTTTGAGTTGCGGCATAGCGTGCGTCTGCAGCATATGGAGGTAACTGTCGCTGGAAGCCGTAGCATCAAAGAGAAAGGGATGCAGGAGACACTTTGAGGAGAATCCCATCTACACACAGAGGTGGGGGGAATAGAGATTATGGGTGAGGTACTCGTGAGGAGCTTCACGGGACCATATCACGCAATCGTACTCGTTGATTATGCCATCCACAGAAAAATTTGCTTCATTGCTCCATGAAATGTTGGGAACGATTTCTTCATTGTCCAGCAGCCAGTTAGCGAACGTGACACGTTGCTCCTTGTCTTCTTCCGTGATGTGGACTCAAATTTTGCAATCAAGCGTTTAATGGTCGACACGGTGAAAGGATCTTTGATGAGACCATGTTTGGCTTTGTAAACACGAAGTGCAGCGGTGGCGTTTTCACCAAGGGAATAATAGAGTTTCACAATTTCAATGGGCGTACTGACATCCATCGTAAACAAAAACATGTTAACAATTGCTTACAAAACCTCCTTTATGTGAATACCAATAATGAAAAATGTGTTATCCTTCCTTTAATTGGCTACGTTTCTTGCCAGATCAAATTTTGCGTCTATTATGAGACACCCTGTATGATGCCCTGATTGTTGGAATACATGCCAACTAATAAAAGTCTGTCCTTAGTGTGGGGAGATTTGAGAATTTTCAGCTGAGATTTGCCCTGTAAGTGAATCCAGTCTCTGCTGAGGGGTCGAGAAATACTCTACCACTGATTCCTATCTACTGGGAATCATCAGCCGTGCGCATCCCACAGAACTCGAGTTTTGAACCGGCGATCTTACGGCTACCAGTTTGAACACTTAATCATTCAGTCACGACCAGCGAATCAGACAGGATATAGCGCCGCCTATCTTTCAATCACGGGATCCACATCACGTGTCGACTGGCCCCTCAAACAACGACTTTTCAGATGGAACTCTCACTCATCGGGTGAATTTTATTCTTCCCACGAACTACTTGTAGATTGTTAGTAGTGTGAATCGTTGGCATTTCGTCAAACCAATCGGTACTAAAAAGAAGTATTTTAGGCCCCAAATCTCAACGAACTCAGTAACAATTCTGCCACAACTGGTGTAATGCTATTCGTTTGGATCCATCCACAGAGATCGAGTGTTAAACCAACAACTCTTCGCTGGATCTTTTCCAGGTAAGCCACACCACTGATGCGAAAAGTGCATGTGCGAAAAGTTAAGCCCCTCCCCACATTTTGCCAACTCCAATTCAATGTACGCACACAAACTTGACCTATTTTTGATGAAAACATAATTCCTTGTCCACATCTAGGCTCATTTTGTCCGAAAAATTCCTCCGTTCGGAAGCAAAACCTCAAATGAACTTTCTGACGCTTTCAACTCTCGTTCATCACAAGGAGACGGCAATACGTTTTTCGCAAGGCCACGGGGTGATGCATCAGCAACGTTTATGCGACAGTGGCCCCCAAGTGACACTTTCAGCTGTTTCTGACAGGTGGAGGTGTAATGCCCGACAGTGTCGCAAAGAAATCGGTCCTCGAAAGGGAACTTGGCTGAAGCGGTCTAGGATGGAGTTTAGGACAGGAATTCCGTTTATTTGTTGCTGGTCCAAAAATTTGGCAAAACAACTTCTGCTCAGAGGAATTATTTATTAGCCATAGGACCGCTGTTGACTGGAAGAACTTTCTTCGCGAAGTTTACGCCTGGCGGCGGCTCTTGCAGACTCCAACGGTTAATCATACCGAAAACTTCGTGGATTCAACGACTGGAGCTCACACACGAACCATCGAATCTCTTTGGCACGTCTACAATATGCAGAATAAACGCCAATGTGGTACACACCAATTTTTGGTGGACAGCTACTAGTGTGAGTTCGTTTGGAGGCAAAGGTACCGAAAAATGGACCTTTTCATGCAAATTATTAATGACCTATCCCAATTTCACTCACCCTCTTTAATAAACATTAAAAGTACAAATTTCATACCCTTGTTTTTCTAGTCTTTTTTTTGGGTGGCGGGGCTCAATTTTTTTGGAGGCGCTTTTCTGGAAAATATCCAACCTATTTAGAGGTCGGCACCTGGACGTCCAGTCAAGTCTTGAATAGATCCCGTACGGCTGACGGGTGAGAAATCGCCATAGTAACTCTGTTGAAAGTCTACTAACCTGGTAATGCCTCTTTTATCGATTTGATTACAAAAAGCGTTGACCTACTGCGGATCTTGCAGTCTGTTTCGGTTACCCGATTGTGGAAGCTTTAGACGTCATAATTCCGAGTTTGCATTGTTGGATGTTTACGAGATGACAGTTTACGTTGTGCAGTTGAGTGGTTCCTGTCGAACGCTGCATAACTCTTCCGGGAGGATACCGAAAGGACCCTTTGTTCTCCGTTACACGACCAGTGCACCAACCGGAAGCACTGAGTGCCGCAGTTTAGTGATCGTTGCCATCAGACACGTCTCTCAGACACGTCAGGGATTTCAGTCCACTCACTGAATTCATCGTCAACGACGAGGAATCTTTGTCCGTTGATTGGTCCGGCAAAATCCACATGGATGCGCGAGAATGATTTCTCTGGCTGTGGCCAATTGGAGTGTTGGTACTCCACTGCCTTCTGTTGTACACTGTCATTTTCGGTGGCATCGCGGACCGTGGCAGAGATCACGGAACGTTGGTTCATGGTCTCCAACACCACAGCACGGACTTCCGGTTCGACGGCAACGTTTGCTTTAGCCCTTGGTTCTGACTGCTTCCGTCTGTTTCGTAACCGCCAGGTTTGACTCAGTCTTCGATTAGCTTTTCCCGTCCGATGCTGACTTTCCTTGTGCTCACGTCGATGTCACACTGAACATTTGTCAGTTTATGGGGATGCAATCACACAAAATGCCATTCGCCGCATCGCGGAGCTTTGTTCCGTTGAAATTTGCCGCCGCGAGAGGTTGCCTCGAATTTATCCTTACAATACTGAGAGCAGAGTTGGGCAATGGTGTCTCCAACATGGCCGCGCTATTGGAAGGGCTGTTTGATCGGCGTTTAGTGAACACTCATCAACATCGACCGTGCTGTTATGATATGTCGGTCGTGCTTCTGCGGCGTGACTGAACACTCATCAACTTCTTCCGGATTGATTGAGTGATTGACTGGTCTGGATGCTTGTAGGTTTCCATTTTGAGTTTTTGGTGGAGTTTTAGGGACACAGTAGGTTCCGGGCATTCTGAGGTTGTTTTCAGGAATCTGGCCATCCTAACAACTAGATTCACAGGGACCAGAAGGACTCCGACTAAAGAATATGGTATACTTTGTGCCACCATTTCTGTTCACCTTCTACGCTTGAAGCTTGACGGATAGTGTACTCTGAGAACATTGCTGATGGTAGTGTATGCTTTATGCTACCGGACTTCTACGTGTTTGAACAAGTCACTAAATCAATATGTCAATGGAGGCTTTAGCTAGTTTGAAGGTACTCATGCAAGGACTCGAACACGGGTCATGGGAAGGGTAAATCTAACCCAATCGTTCAGCTGTAACACCCTTCCGGTGCCTAGCTGTCATGCCACCTGAGGGAAGCACGAGGGCTGGGATACTGCCAGGTTGACCAGGCCTAGACAGGGGAAGCTAAGAGGCAGAGGTCGGGTTCGAACCACGCGCTTTCCGGTCAGTGAATTCGCGCTCTAACCAATGAACTATCCCTCCCTGCCTTCTACGAATAGTTTGCTTCTTCGGAGGGAGTATCCAGAAGGCTAGTATGAGAAAACCTCCAAGAGCGAAACTAATATTGACAATTCTATCAATAGTAATGCTTGTGGTCCTTCATCTTTTATACAAACAGAATCACTTTGTATTTCCGCGTCGATTATGTTGAGAATCGCGTCATTACTTTGTCTAGGCTATGGATCAATATCGATCAGTTTCATGGACTTGGTTACAAGAGTTCGTGAACCGATTAGTTCGGTCGTCCGCCTACAGAAGAGAAACACGTCACTCGTTTTCATGCGTACGGATTCTACGCAACACATTTTGTACGATTACCTCTCTGTGTCGAATGTTAAACAATCAATTAGTTGTTCCGAACCTTTCCCGGGCCTCTTGCTAACTCGTAGGCCGTCGATTGACGTGTCAATGAACTCTGCTCGAAGCATCATGCTAATTAATTCGACCGATTAGGGTTTCGCAGTCTCCCACCGGAATGCATTCTGCCAATAAATATGGTTAGAAAACTCTTTGACAGCTCCCTTTCAGTTCGGGCTCATCGAGTAAGCGCAACCCCCGAGTTTCCGTCAACCTTACGTTCTACTTGAACCCAAATTGGACCGTTTTCGAGAAATACACTCATTTGCAAATCAATTTGGTTTTCACGAGAGAGACCCGAGTGAATCTCTCGTTGCAAATGGGTGTATTTCTCAAAGATTTGGTTAGACTTTTAACAAGGAGAAAGAACTGACCCACAACCCCTCTCAGCGTACGGTTTGGAACGAACGTTCAAACAGCATCACTAAAGGCGTTGCATGTGAACGCCACTCAACGCTGTGAATCAGCCGTGTGTCACGTGACTTTAATTGACACAATCTGAGTAGATCGCTCAATGATGAGACTGGTGACGGTATTGGCCAACCAAAATTATGATCGGGTTGTATGGCCGAAATGAGACATATTTTCAAAACGTATAACGATGAGTTCACGGTTAAAGAGTTCTTGGGAGAGTTGAATTACACTGTGGGGCTTCTATTTAAAGATCCCCGTGCGATGAAGCACCTTTGACTGGTTAGTTCAAATAACCTTACAATGTTGACTCCAGTTATAATCAAAGTCCGTAAACTAGAGGCCCACACGCTCCAAATCAGGATTCTGCGCCTAAGCCGAAGCCTAATGGTGAAGTTTGCCATTTACTGTGTCCCAAACACGGCATGTGATATTGCCCTGTAGTATTCAGCTGACTATTTGAGACTGTTAACAGTTTTCTTCTTGAAGGAGAGCTCTTCGACAACCGACCATCGGTTTCGTCCTTCATCTTCGGGCTTACCAGGTAGGCGCAGTTTCCTTGTGTTCTGCTTGAACCCAGATTGCACTAAATTCACGGACTAAACTACGGGAGACCCAAGTGAAGCACATTCAGTTAGAGAACATCATGAACGAGAGACTCAGCTGAGATTCAGGTATCTCTCGTAAAAATCACATCAGCATGCAAATGAGTGTATCTGTCGAAAACAGCCCAATTTGGGTTCAAGTAGAACATAAGGTTGACGGAAACTCGGGGGTTCCGCCTACTCGATGAGCCCGAACTGAAAGGGAGCTGTCAAAGAGTTTTCTAACCATATTTATTGGCCGAATGCATTCCGGTGGGAGACTGCGAAACCCTAATCGGTCGAATTAATTAGCATGATGCTTCGAGCAGAGTTCATTGACACGTCAATCGACGGCCTACGAGTTAGCAAGAGGCCCGGGAAAGGTTCGGAACAACTAATTGATTGTTTAACATTCGACACAGAGAGGTAATCGTACAAAATGTGTTGCGTAGAATCCGTACGCATGAAAACGAGTGACGTGTTTCTCTTCTGTAGGCGGACGACCGAACTAATCGGTTCACGAACTCTTGTAACCAAGTCCAGCAGTTTATTTCAAGGAAATATACAACGATATCTGGGATATCATACCAGCAGAACATTCTGGCAAAGAATCTCACAACCGAGAGATTCAGTTGAGTCGCCTGTGAGAACCAAACTGATATACAAACGAGTGTATTTCGCCAGTCAAGCGATGTAATTTCTGGTCCGAATGAACAGTGCTCAGCATTCCCACTATCCTTTTTCATTTAAAGTAACACTCAATCAACATTCAAAATCGCTCTGCTCGTAACCAAACCTGCAGTAACTCACCCGATGATTGGTCAGTAGAACGTTTTTGAATGCCAGTCTAAGGCTATCGCTTCCATAAAGGAACAAAACCGGACCTTTGCATTTCCCTCCTTTATCCCATGTTTCCGGCACCTAGCTGCCATCCCACCCGAAAGGAGCATGAGGGCGGAGACACTGCCAGGTTTCCCGAATCCAGGCAAGAGCAGCCGAGAGACCGGGGTTAGGATGGGATCACGGATCTTCTGGTCAGTAAGTTCGTGCCCTAACCACCGAGTTATCCGCTGACTGTCGTCAATTCCGTTTGGACTCATACATTATTTGTCTACGGCATTTTGTTAGTTTCTTGACGAGAAAAGGTGATGACGCCGATGTGAGTTTGCTTGGAACGCCATTATGAAGTCTTTTCAAGTCATACAATTGCAAAGGTTAAGACAGCAGTATTTAACGTATTTGAATGAGTATGGTGTAAATGGACAGGAAATCGAGTGGGAGACGACACTGGCTACCTATCAAAGAACAATTAATTCAGGTCACCAATAGGATGACTTGAGCTAGTCAGCGCGGGGGTGCTGTAGTTTTGTGTTCAGCACAGAGTGCATGTGTGAGGGGAGGTGAGTTGGACCATGATAAGTAGAACACACGAACGAAGCGTTTTTGCCGACAAAGGATCGGGTCGCGATGTCGGCGATAGCTTCAGCCACTGCAATCTTGCGCTGCTGTACTGATCTGGGTTGGTTAGCCGGCGCCTTGTAGCCAACGCGGAAACTTTGGCTGGGTATCACGTTGTGTGCAGTGTCAGCTAAATGTTGTACTACGGAGCTGGTTATCGTCCTCCTAGTTCCAGAAGCTAG